AACTCTCATCTTCTTCATCCCTCACCAAAGGATTTTATATTATTTCATTTTGTTTATTATTGAAACTTTAAAAAACAAATTTCATTAAAAAATAAAAGAAAGTAAATGAAAGAGCAAATCAAGAGTTGGAGGTTAAACTTGGGTATACAAAATTACAAAAATAACCCGGGTTAATTGTGAGCTATACATTTTTCATCAAAGGGCAAAAAAGTCTTTAACATATTCAACATTTAAAATCAAAAAAATGAGAAAAAAGATAGGAGGGGTTCTAAGCATTAGAAGGTGCCACCTCATTACATTTGGTTTATTCTTTAATATATATATATATAGATTGTTGTTCTTTGAATCGACACTTGTGTTGTCTGTCATATGGTTGATCACAGTAATAAGATAGACCCTTTGTTATTTCCTCGACTCTCACATCTATTGGAATGTATTTGAAGTTCTTAGTGGTCTTTGGATTAGACTTTGCTAAGGTAAGTGGCATTGGCTTCATTGGAGGGAGGGATGGCAATAGAGGTGGCTTATTATAATTAGTAGCAGCCATGAATACTGCTTGTAAAGGTTTTGGTGAAAATAAAATGGGCTTATTCTATTTTGGATCTGCATTAATAAACCTTAGAGATACTTTCTGCAACCTTGCAATTTTTTTAGTCCGTGCTACTGAAGTGGATTTAAAAGCCTTTATAAATGGCTTAACAGTCGACTTTAAACACACTCCACCTTTTCAGTCATGTGATTTTAACCGGAAAGACTATTTCCTATTGGTTTTCATGTTTGCCCTTGAAAGTTTTATATCATTTGCAAAGTTTATGGTATATTTGAATTTTTTTTGGTAATAATGTTCATTTTGTATCTGCTAGATCTTGTAAAATCTAGCTTTATACTCGGTTAAGCTAATACAAATATGTGGTTGATATTTTTTGGTATTGTTTCAGGACTCTTAGGAAATTGTATAATGTGGATCCAAATGACTACATGTTCTGGGATGAGGATCTTCGGGAGCTCTCTTCTCCCGGAAAAATGGCAACTTTTTCTACATGTGAATGATGATAGGTATATAACAAAGACAATGAAGAAGGCATAAGTGATTAGGCTTCAAAAAAGTATGATGATAGGGTTGAAGTAAGTCTGATTTTGAGTTGGGTTTTGAAAGATGTATGTGAGTGTAAATTTAGGTCTCATTCGAAAGAGTACTCAATATATTGGATAGACACATTCTTTCTGTAAAATAGGTTTTGTGTGTAAGTTTGTAATTTTTCTATAAAATAGGTTGTGTATAATTTTGGATGGACCCATTCTTTCTGTAAATTAGGTTATGTTACCCAAAAAATTTATTTAAAACATCTTTTTGTTCTAACAAAGACTTTGTTATTATAGACTTTCCATATGAAGATTTGTTCTATTTTTATAGGATGATTGCAAAAGCTACCAACACCACCACCTATGTTTTGGATGGATGGTTATTTGAATCTAATATAGGTACAGATGTAGTAGACTTTATAACATCTTGAAAAGATTTGATATTTTGAAATTTAAAACATTTTATATTCCGCCGCATTGCGCGGGTACACAACTAGTATATATATATATATATATATTAATTTTAGATAAATAAAAATAAAAACGATTTTGTATTTCAAAATATAAGAACAACTATAAAAAAATTTACAATTGAAAATATGTCAATATTGATGTAATAAAAATACGTCAATATTTAAGTTTATTTATAGAAATTGAAAAATATAATTTTTGGTGTATTTTTTTAACTTCTTTTTTTGTCAAAGTCACATTCTTAATAAATAAGTTTTATACTAAAACAAGCCAATCATAATTTAACATATGACAAAAAGCAAAATAAATATTTTATCAAACTGAAGGGCCGTTTATTAAACGTTTACTCGGTAAGTATTTATCGGACAATTTTCTTTACCGGATGAACATAGCAAGGGCCAAAATTGCGATCATAAGAACAGAGAGTCTTACCCGGTAAGTGAGAATGGCGACTCTTACCCGGGTTAGCGCTTACCAGATAAATTATTACATATGATACGTTTTGATGTACTACAATCTTATCCGATAAAATAAATTATATTGTTGACTTCTACTGTAAACGTTTACGGATAAACATTTAGGTAAACAGCCCCTGAGTTCGTGCTCTGATCAAGATTGTTGGGATGGGTTGCCTAATTTTCTTTTTTCTTTTTATTTTGTTCTATTTGTGGGTGGAGGTAGTCTTGGATAGGGGTGCTCAAAAACCCGACCAACCCGATTAACCCAACCCAATCCAACCCAACGTGAAATAACCCAACCTGAAGCAATCCGATGTCTAATCGAGCTGTAAAATTGTCAAACCGTAGGTATTGGGTTGATATTGGGTTACTATTATTTGAACCAACCCAACCCGATAAACCCGATACCCTTTTATTTCTTGAATTTAATATGATTACTGAATTTCTGTTAATATATACATTAGACAATTACACTATCATGTATGCTTTTCATATACACATATTTTGAATCTATTTATAACTTTATATAACTCATTCATATATATGTCCAGTAACTGTGAACATATATATGTAAATTGAGAAAATTAACTGAATGTGATATACATAAGAAATATGGATAAGTTGTAGCAAATGGTTGATAATGAAAAAGAAATTATGAGTAGAGAAATAACATATTTAAGGTTAGAAGAATATTTTAATATATCAAAGTATCAACCCGACCAACCCGTACGGGTTGGGTTGCACTTTGGTTTGGGTTGGATTAAGATTTTTCCAAACCACAAACATTAGGTTGGGTTGTTCAATGTCTCCAACCCGATTAACCCAACCCATGAGCACCACTAGTCTTGGAGACGGTGGAGAAGGAGAGGGGTAGTTTCGTCAAAGAACAGAGAACAAATTAAGTAAACATAATTTTTTTTATTTTCTTTTTAAAAAACAAATATAAAGAGGTAGAAGGATGAGTTTTATATTCAATTGTTTTTAATAAAAATGAAAATAAAATGGTAAAAAGACTAAACTGCTTCTTAGTTTACTGATTTATGGTCACTCATTTATGTTCGTTTAGCATCTTAACAAATAAGCACATTTTCTTGACGAATAAACATGAACAAAAAAAATCATTCATTTACAATTCAAGTTTGTCTGTTAAGTTAAAGAAAAGAACACAAACAAGTCTCTGCCCGTGTTCGTTCGGTTTGTTTATAACCTTATATCAAACACTTTTCTTGAACAAAAATGTAGTAGTAATTGTTTTTTTATTAATCTAGATATTCAACCCGCTATGCGAGCCAACTAATCCCAGGACGACTACATGTTTTGCAGATAGTCCGGAGTCACCGCATTTGAACCTCCATGGCCTCAAGGGGATTTTTATTCCACCTTGAATTTGAACCTGAGACCTTCTGGTACTTTTGACCTTTGGAGCCAAGCTCAAACCAATCAGACACCGGTTTATTGTAGTAATTGTTAAATACAACAATAAACACCTACTAAAAATGTGGTAGTAATTGTTCAATATGTTGTTACACCCCACCTTTTGTCTTGTTATTGTGATGGCCAATCCACTTTATACATTACCCGCAATCTAGTATTTCATGAGAGAACTAAACATATTGAAATCGACTGTTATTTCGTATGCGATGCCTATGTCCTTGCATTACGATGACTTATCGCAGTAATCCCTAGTTAATTGTAGTTTAAATAGGCATTCAGTAAGAAACAGAGAGTAAGGGGTTGTTTACCAAATGCTTACTTGGGTAAGCGTTTATCAAGTTATATTACTTTACCGGATGAATATGGTAAGGACCAAAAAATTTACCCAGCAAGAACGAGGCAAAGACCGAGAGTCTTACCCAAAGAGGATATTTTTTTTATTTTGCCTAATTTCATGAAAATAAGAATTAACGAATCCGGGTATTTGGAGTTACGAAAGTGTGGCTGGAGTGCATATTGTGTTTTCTCTTTTCTAGGTTGTGCTTTTTGGCAACTATCTGGTAAGTGAGAGCAATAACCCTTACCACGGTCAGCTTTTACCGGGAAAATTGTTGCATAGAAAGCCGTTTTGTTGACTAAAATCTTACCCAATAAGTAATTAATAGTATTGAATTTTATCGGTAAGTGTGCTTACCGGGTAATTGTTCCTAAATTGTTGCAAGTCATTTGTTATATATGCAGAAGCTTAAACATGGGAATTTTTGTTCAATACTAATCATATATATTTCTCATGAATCAGCAGTTCATAAAGAAACAAGGTATAAACAAAGCTGAATAAATTAAGACCATGTGAAGATCTGCACAAGACTTGGGCTGAAGTTGCTTTCGGTTCAATCTTGTAACCTATCCATGAATCTGCTAAGTGTAGACTCATGCAAGATGTAAAAAGACTCCAAATTCAGAGAGGTTGGTTGTGGAACCACATTTGTTTACTTCCGTAGTTTTGTCGCTTTCGATCCCTACAAATTCTTGAACCAAACTGTAAAAATCGTAAACAGAAACAGCCTAAAAATATCAAACAAGAGAGATCGAGGAAACGATAAAGACGGGTAATTGAAATGAAGTTTGCCACCAAAAACAAGATAAACGTGTTGAGTTTTCGAGGAGTCGACAGATTTCAATTTGTAGAGCTTTAAGAGAAAGAAACTGATGAAAGGGAAAAGAATGCATACCTGAGCTTGAATAGGCAGAATCCAACAGCTTTGTGCAAAGCCGAGTATTCTTGCAACCTTCACGAAAGATGATTTTAAGTTTCAGGGCTCCCCCTTTCGCTAACAAAGGCCATGAACCATGTTTATTGCTCATCTCTTACCAAATTAGAATCCATAATTGACTATTAAAATTTCAAATACAAGATCTTCATCATCAAAAGTCAATGAAATTGGGTCAATATTACTCCAGTTTGTATATCTATAGAGTGGTGTTTCTGTTTATCTACTTTTTATGAAACAAAAGATTGAAGGTCAAAGGTTGATGCTTTCTTTGGTGGCTTCACATCGGTATCTTCCTTACGCCAACTAGTTTGAATAGTTCAAAACAAGCATCAAATCAAAGATCTTCATCATCTGAAAGTAAATGAATTTTGGTCATTCTATCACAAATGGATCGATCAAGGTCAAAATAGAACCTCTATCTGTAGCTTTTCCTTTTTTATTCCCAAACAAGAAGGAGGGATATGCGTATAAACATGGCGGTGATGGGATACATTAACGTATACAAGTAAAGTAAATGGCTCTTCAGAAACTAAAACAAAAGGGTTCTGTATGTAATCTTCATTTTGAGGCTTTCAAGAAATTTGCAAACTAGAATCACAAGGATGGAAGTAGAGTGTTGCATAGCAAATAAGCAGAAACATTTCAGGAATCGAACTAAACACAACTTAGCTTATTTTGGTTTAGGTTGTAAACTATTTCTCTTGAAAGGGTTAGGGTCTAGGTTGTTTCTTTTTCGGCTTGTCATTTTTCACCATTTTTATATCAAGAAACCTCTAGAACATATTTAAAATAACACACACATATGCAGGTTGGGATTTAGGGTACCTGTAAATAGTGTGTATATGGAGAAGCTATTGATCCCCTTGTACTTCTCTCATGCTGATATTAAGACTGTTCCGCATCGTTCGTCTTCCGATTCCTGCATTTCCTTTTGTCATCATAGCGACGAATTCTCCATAATCAATCCTCCCGTCCTGCAAGAAACTTACATAAATTAGGGACTGATTGTGGTTTCTTTCTAATGTGACTATAGAACAAAAACAATAAACCGAATCACTAACAAACTAAAAGAAACAAATAGTATATGATATGATATCGTTTTTCTAAAACTTTTGAAACATATTATATGTTTCATATCAACTAAATTTTCACAATTACATGACATAACAAAGTGAGTAAACTTATGTGCTTGCTTGAAGTTCGTTCAGGCGTGTAGCATTTGAGAAATACCTTTTAGGAAGTCATGTTACATCAAGTGATAGTATATGAATGTATACATACAAACTTTGACATGCACACAACCACAGGGAGGAAACAAAACTTACATCATCTATGACATACATAAAACAAGGGCCATATATAGGCCACAAAGACTATCTTTAATACAATAGTTGGAACAAGCATATACGTAATAGAGAGAACCGCAAGTGCAAGCAAAAAGTGTGCTAAAGCTAAAATAGAAGGATATAAGTCCAATTTTTAAACCAATTTTAGAATCCGTGAAACTTCGTCATCACTTTTTCAACTTACATTATCTTGATCGACTTCCTTAATGATATCCTCCACGAGAATATCGGTCATATTGTGATCTGTACAAGCTTGTTGAAGCTCATCAAACGTAATATAACCACTTCCATCCTTGTCAAAATACTGGAATGCAGCAACAAGATGTTCTTCCCTTTCCAGTTTGTTCAGGTGCATGGTAGCAGCTACAAATTCTCCGTAGTCAATTGTCCCACTATTGTCCACATCAGCCTGAATAGTATTGTGATAGATTAGCTAATCCTAAACAGCTTAACAATGGTATATACATTAATACAAATGTCCAATGAAACTAAGGCCATCTATCCACATAACACAAACAAAATCACCATAATACCACACCATCTACTAGATATTGGTCCTACCGCATCCATAAGGTCTCGAATCTCCGTATCCTTTAATGTTGAACCAAATCTTTTTAAACCAGCTTTGAGTTCATCAAATGTTATTGCACCACTATTATCAGTATCCATTGCCTTGAACATTTCCCGCAAACCAGCAATCTCCTCTTCAGACAAGCTTTCAGCTATTACCTGGTGGCGTAAAGAAGAGCAAAGTGCTAATCACTCAACATTCATTGACGGAGTAATAGGACAAATTACATGATAGCGTAGAATATTTTAGATGCTAAAACTAATATAACATGGAAACATAATCCTTATTAATTCCGGGCATGTAACAATATAATAATAAATAAAATAAGTAAATAACTTTCTCGGTACAGATCTCCAAAGGAGATCTACTTAATAGAATATACTAAATCCTAATATAGTACAAATATCCAAAACATCATTTGTTCAAATTTCCATTCAAACCCCTCGCAACCCACCAACAAAGAGGTTGTGCATACATGTGGTCCAAAATGTAAAATTTCATAGGAATATACGAGGATTTTTGCATAAAAACCTGTTCCGTTATTGAGTTTATGTTCCATTCAATCATTAGAGTAGATAATATATAAGGCCATCACATGCATTGCATACATTCAAGTATTAGCATAAAAAATACAACTATGTATTCAGATTGTCATGACAACAAACACCTCTCTTTCGGTTCAAGTCGGATCATAATCATCACAAAATAATGCAATCAAATTCAAGCACTTGGATCAAAGTTATGTATTTGCATAAAGATAAGAGTGCCTTGGAAAGCCTGCATCCAGATTAGTTGTCTCACCTATACTGACACATCCTTTACTTTCTAGATGACACACCCTACAAGTTTGAGACCCTTACTACTTCTTGATTTGCGTAAGAAAAGCATCAGCCACTCGACCTGTTAATGTTCTAGTGTATGTGTCCCCCATAACATCTTATAAGTTACAAATGTCACAATTCTTTCAATTCTATAATTTTTTGTTAAATCCATTTATTTGAACACATTATAAAGAGATACTAGCCTATAAGATCATCAGATTACGAACCTAAAATCAGAAGGCCTTTTAGGCATATTTATAGGCATCACATACTGAAACAAAATACAAGGAATCAACACTAGACCATTATATTAGTGGACAATGAACCCATGTACAAGGGCACTACAGATAATTTGCATGTGAATCTCCTGGGACCTTGGTTTATCTGTCCCCCATGTCATTTTATAAGTTGTATATGTCACAATGCTTGCATTATGTAATTTTTCTAATATTCATTTATTTGAAGACATTATGAAGAGATACTAACCTATAAAATCATCAAATTATCGGCCTAGTAGCATAAGGCCTTTCTAGCACATTAATTGGCATCACACACTGAAGCAAACTATAGAATACTAAACCCATGTATGAGTGTACTACATAAAATGTGCATGTGTATAGTCTTACAAATAGAAAGGTCCACATGTTTAAGTGTTCTATTTACATACCCGCAAAGCCATCTTCTTTAACTTATTCATTGCAGAAAACTGCTTCAAACGAGAAAGAACAGCAGGATCAAGTGCTCTATCAGGAGCAACACCATTTTCACATATCCAAGGATGACCTGTATTAAGACCAAAATACTTCAAATCTGATACTGATGATGGTAATAAATACAGCGGAAGAGAACGATAATGGACCAGTTTAGAAAAAAAATCCACGAAGATATCTTTCTGAATTAAATTTGTCTAAATACGAATATTCTTCAAATGGCCAAAGCGTAAATTCTATACCAACATCCCAATGAACAAAAAACTAGAAAGAACAGTCAGGTTGCCCTAGATTTCATTAACAAGCTGAAAATAAGTCCAATTCTATAAACCTACAATTAAATATAAGCCCAATAAAATTTATCCGGTAATACTTAATGACACTACCAATGAAGAAACTAGAAATTAGAGAATAAAATAGTAAATCAGTGGTGCACCTTGTGTAGACAAGCATAAAAGAGTCAAGTTGGTGCCAAATGCACATTGAAACAACTGTTTTTGGATAATTAATGATAGAGAATACTCTTTTGAGGGGATCAAGCATGCTAATAAAACACAAGTGTGTTTTGTTACACTTGCATTCTTCTATTTATAACAATCAAAGACATACATCTTTATTTTGCACTCTTCTAGACTATAATTTCCACCATGATTTTGTTCTCATTTGCTTCATCCTAGTTAACCATTTGATTCCATGCTTGCAGCAACATTTACCATTTCTTGTCAACTACTCAACTATGATCTATGTGAAACAAGTGAGGTGATATGAATCAGGAAGGCATCCTAAGAATCAATTGAGCAACAGATAATATGATTCATAATAGTCATGAAACATACAAAGAACTTGATGAGCAGTTAAGCGCTTTGAAGGAAGAGAGCATAACATCTGCTTAATAAGATCCTTTGCACTGTCAGAGATAAGGGGCCATGGGTCTGAATCAAAGTCTATATTTGCCTTCAAAACTGCATCAAATATCCCCTGTTGTGTTTCTACAAAAAAAAGTTGAACAAGTATTCAAGAAACTCAAGATGGTTATGCCTTTCTTACAGTCTAGATTAATCTAATAAATATATCCATAACAACAGGAGTGTAACATTTCATATGAACATCACCACATACCAGCCCAAAATGGAGGTACCCCACTTAGAAGTATATAAAGTATTACTCCTGCAGTCCATACATCTGCTTCTGGGCCATAATGCTTTAAAAGCACCTCTGGAGCAACATAATATGGGCTTCCAACCACATCTGTGAAAATTTGACCTGAACAATGATCCACCAGAAGTTAGTATCACATATTGTGAACGATCAACTAGAGATTATAGGGCTAAGTAGTGTAACTTGTACTGTATGTTACGTGGAGAAAATTATGATCCAGTGTCAAAAATCATAAAGCTTCAATCTCATAGTTCTAACTTTTGGGCCTATGCATAAAGTGAAAGACAATATTAGCCATGTCCTGAAAACTTCATTTTTCACTCACTCACACACAAATACATACATATATATATATATATACATATATATATAGAGAGAGAGAGAGAGATTTAAACACACTAGCACACCCCCTCACACATGCAACATAGTCTTCTTACCCCAAAAAGCATATTGACTCCCCAAACAAGAAAGTAATGATCAAATTTTGACCAGGACTGTTCTCTATTAAGTTCACCTGGTTTGAAGAAAATTGAGAGTCCAAAATCAATTGCCTTGAGTGAGAAATCATCGTCTTTATTAACCAACAAGAAATTCTCTGGCTTCAAATCTCTATGCATAACACCAAGTGAATGGCATGCCTCAACAACACCCACAATAATCTTTGTCAACTCAGCTGCCTTCCTTTCACTATATTGTCCTCTCTGAATGATCCTATCGAACAATTCTCCGCCATTACAGAGTTCCATGACAATATGAACATACAAAGGATCTTCATATGCACCCTTAATGGTTACAATATTCTTGTGTCCTGCCAAATGGTGCATTATCTGAATTTCCCTTCTAACATCCTCCACATCCTCTTTGGAAATCAACTTCCTCTTGGAAATAGACTTGCAAGCGTAATTTGTACCGGTGGAATTCTCGGTGCACAGGTAGGTTGTACCAAATTGTCCCTGGCCTAGTTTTTGCCCCAACGTGTACAGATCACGAATGTTGGCTGTTTTATGACCAAGGACATAATAAGCCTGATTCGCGTTGTGGCGGTTCATGGTGCTCTCTTTCCTGGAAGCAGGTGAGGATTTGGGATTGGAATTGGGATTGAAATTGGAACCTTTTCTGGGGAACTCTTTAGAGGCACTACGTGGTCGGTTCACGGTGGTGGGTGAGTGGCGTGAGGAGTTGTTAGATTGTGCAATAGACGGGTTTCGCTTGGAACTGGATTGGTATCCAGGCTGATTGAAGCCTTGATTTATTCTTACAGCAAAAGATCCACGGCAAGTATTGCCCATAAAAACAATCAATATTCTGTTACAAATACTAAACTTTCAGCCTCTTCCTCATCCCATGTTACACTCATCAAATTTCACTGCACACAAACATAATTTCCACCAATTAGCCAAAAAAACATCCAAATATGAACAATCAAAAATCATATCCTGTTCCCCAATTCTTCATCTTTTGAATGCTATATTGTAGGATTAAACAAGACAAATGATAACATACATGTATATGAAAAGGGGACAGAATCTTGTAACAGATCAAACCAATGATCCAAAAACCATGAGAAGTGGATCATTGATTAAACAAACACATTACAAAATTTGGTAATGGAATGAAAAGAGCAATTAACATGTAAGAGAAATGAATGCATGTAAAGGGTAATTAAAAGGGATCTACGAACCAGGTTGAATGAAGACAGAATTGAAATGGCGATCAGAATTCACGATTTCACCTGGGAGGAAAAAGAAGAAGGAAATGAGGATGCTTAACCGTGTATTTGAATTGAAAAGCAAATCGGTTTTGACAAATACCCCCTCTGTCCTATCCCTTTCCGTTAAACTAAATTCATTAATTTTTAGTACAATTTTTATTTTATTTTATTTTTTATACATTTATTATATTAACTAAAATATTTTTTTTTACAAATTACAGTATAATTTACTAAATGATACGAAACAACTTGCAAGCTAATCGAGATCGACTTGGTCAACACTCGACTTGAATAGGCTCGACTCGATATATTAACGAGTCGAATCAAGTTACACAATACTCGACTCGAAAAGCTCGCAAGATACTCGATTATTTTATATATAATTAGTTTTAAAATATAATCAGTTTTTATGATAAAGTTTATGAAATATAAATAATAAAAATATCTTATATTTTTAGATATTTAAACAAAATTATGTATTTTTTAATTATTAAAACTTAATCAATTATTATTTTTTAAATCACAATAAAAAAGAAAGACAAAGAAAAACTATAAAAAAAGTTAATGAAATTGTCCCACATTGGATGAGAGATGGTAAAGGAGGGGGAAAATGTTATAAAAGAGACGAAGGTAAATAAAATTTTTAACTTTGTCTTTTTGATGATAAAGTTTTAAGTTGATCATTTAGTTTTATAAAATCTAAGAGAACACCTTTAAGTTAAAATTTATAAAAGAAAATTTAGTTTTATAAATTCCAATGGAAGAACTTGGTTCGAGCTTGATTCGAGTTCGAGTTCGAGCTTCATTTGAGCTTAATTCAAACTTGAGAAATAGTTATCGAGTTCGAGTCGAGCTTTGACTTTTACTACTTACGAATTTTCGAGTTCGAGCTTGAAAATTGTGTTTCAAGTTCAAGTACGGTGATACTCGAGGACGACTGTTCAATTAAAACACAGGACCAATAATATAATTTATTCTATTTTTTATTTAAATCATAGGGACCAAGAACTGTAGCCACCGTCTCCCTCCTAAAACTCCGCCGCTAGACTCTACCCTTGCTCTCCACGGCCACCGCCTTCTCCCCTTCCCTACCGGAGAAACGTCATTTCAGCCTCCAGGTACAAGATGCGGGAGAAGCAGATCCAGATCTGTGATCTCCTCAAACGACGACGCTTGGTCTTCCCGACCATCGCCTCTCCCTCTTCACTTCGGCCCCATTTTGGCCATGTATAACCATGCTCGTATTTGGATGAACGATCGAGCATAAACTTTGAGTTTATAAATGGATCAAACGCCCACAGTTTTACAGGCAAACAAATTACATTTGTTTGAATCCATTCAGGTTTATATATAACTACCAAATTCTGTTTGAATTTATTTTACAAGTTAGAGACATTATTTATTCACAATTTTGATCTTCATCAACCTCTGCTTGAATTCTGTTTGATCTGTTAACTTCTCTACCATCCCTCTTTCTCTTCAACTTCCTCTTTGATATCTCTTCTTTCTCATCCGCAAACGATAAAAACCTCTGCAATCGCACCGATCGAGACCCCTTTTCCGGTGACGGATCGTGTTTTCCAAACTCCCGAAGCACCATACAGAAGTGTATACCGAGAGCAAGAGCGCAAGCTACTCCGAAGATGAGAAATAGTCCACAAAAGCTTTCTAATTGAAGCTGGTCCGAATCCGAGTTCCGCAAGGAGCAGGTTTTTCTCTTGAGCCAATGGTCGTGAATCTTTTGAAGCTCGCCGTTCTCCATTAACGTTAGGATCGCAGTCGATATGTCAACTGCCAATGGGGAGTCCCTTGGAAATGCCTAACAAATCATCACATAACACATATCATTCATAATCTGATTGGCAGTTGCAGAATGGTTTGGTGCAAAATTGTTTGGTATAGAATGTTTAAGTGGTCAGAATGATTAGTAGGCTTTCATGATATAGTATAAAATAAAATATAATTATTTGGTAATTGTTTACAATGGAATCAGGGTGCTTAATGGTTAAGGGAGACTTATGATAAAAAATCATTCAGAGGGTTTTAGAACTAATAAAAGGCAGATTTTTTTTTGTCTAACAAGATTCACTTCTTAATGATTTAGATGTTGCCACTTAATGAAACTGTTAAGAGGTAAACAAACAACCTCAAAGTCTACAGGAACAATTACATTATAAAATGTTACAATAAGTTGATATGACGTATTTTTTACGCTTTAACAAGTTTTTTAATATACTTTTGAAATAAAGTGTTATATTAACTCTTTTCGTAGAACATTTGTTTCTATAGAACACTAGAAAGACTAATGAAAAGTCTTATTTTCAAAAGTTGTACTAAAAGAACTTGTTAAGAAGTCCAAAAACATCTTATCGACTTATTGTAACACATTTATATAGGATGTACGATTGTTTGGTCCTGTAAACTTAATTAAAGTCTTAAAAAGCATTCTATTTACATATATTTGACATTCTATAAAGCCGATTTTACTGTAAAAAGTACGGAGATACTTACGAAGCCCCACCCGCTTTTCGTGAACTCTTGGCCGACGACTTGAAACCGGCAGTAGTTTGAAAGGAAGAGGTCGACGTACGRCCTTTCAWYAACAATGGCAGCAACTATTCCTCCTCCAAGTTTCTCAGCATATTCTTCAGGGGAGCCAAGGGCAACAAGTCTTGATTTTGGTATGTTGAGTTCTTCCATCAAATAATTCTCGGAAAACGATCCTATCTGAAACCCGATGCGTTCRTTGCTAGCGATCAATGAATCGATCCCTCTGATGGGAGATGAAAGTTGTTGCRYGGTTAAGATCGATGTGAGGYTAGCCGTGTAGCTTGAGTTGATGATCAGAACCACGAAAAGCCAGATGAAAAGAACCATCCGACCAAGGGTGCTCACCGTGTTTTCTCCTGAAAGTTTTCGACTTCATCATCAATTTCGCTCTCGTCACCCGTTACTATTCGAATAGATAATCAGAGATTTGATACTTACTGTGTGAGAAAAACATAGTTGACAACGTAAACCTGCAAAACAAAGAACAAATCTTACAAAAGAACCGATGAATTAAGCAATATCTCTGAGAATATCTGGTACACCATTAGATTACTCTCCAAAAAAACCCTTAAGAGAGAGAAGGGGGGTTTTAACATACAACAGAAAGAAATGGTCCAAGTTTAGCTGATATATGACTTCACACCCCACTCTAGCAGAGGATAAACAGGCTGTGCCAGACGGGTGCAGGCACAGATTGTCCCAGATTGTCTGGTTTCTAAATGTCTGTAGAGGCCAGACTGACACAGATCGTCCCCAGATCGTCTGGTTTCTAAATGTCTATAGGGCCAGACTGACACAAATCCTCTCCAGATTGTCTGGTTTCTAAACGTCTATAGGGGGCAGACTGACATAGATTGTCTCGTATCGTCCGGTTTCTAAATGTCTATAGGGGGCAGACTGACGGAGATCGTCCCAGTTTGTCTAGTTTCTGAAGTGGTAGACCATGGTTTTGATATAATGTGAGAATGTGTATAATCTCCAAAAAAAGCCATTTAGGAGCGAACGGGTTTACATACAGAGGAAAAATTGTCCAAGTCTAACAGATATGAGACTGCTCACCAAAAGATGGTGGCCAACTGTTTCTTTGGCGGCCCCCTAAATTCGTCGTTCAGCTTGTGTTCCAGTATCCAGATGACTGCTCCAACGACGAGAAAGGAAACTCCGGTGACCGCCCACATGAGCGGAGTAAAAGGCCGCAAGAAAGCCCAAGCACTCGAGTTTAGCTTCTTTATGGGCACAACTACAACCAGACCCGACTCGATATACGGCTGTGTGAAGTCCGCGGCCTTTGTACGGTTAGGGATAATTGCAACATCACCAACAACAGCATCGAACACCTAAATAAAAACAGAAATTTACCACCCATTAAGATTAGATCGTGAAAATATCTGGACCCCGTTAGATTACTTTCCAAAATAACAGTAGTTTACTCACGTTATGTGACACTTCATTCACAAGCTCGGTGTAGCTCGGATTCTGACGACCATTCCCATACATAATGAACTCGTAAGGAACCGGATATTGAATCAACTTTATTGCAGCCATGAAAACATCTAYGCTAAATCCATGGATTTCGTGCGAACTGTTAACTACTGTAACGATTTCTTTGAAACYAACTCTCAACGGAACTCCAATCCTTAATGGCCTTCCGTTGTTCGAAAACTCCCATCCACGAGGCCGATCYTTTGTGTTCCCAGGCCATACTACACTTCTCAGATGCTGGTTGGCAATAGAACGGTTCGATGGTTCTGCATAAAGAGTCTCTGGCGACTGAACCGTTAGCCCAGAGTGGTTCGACCAGTATCCGAGACGCCGACCCTGGTTCCCAACTAGATTGATTACATCAAAAGAAGGGTGTATCAATGATTGATCAAGATTGAACCAAAGGGGTCCTGTTAGACCACTCATATTTGTTTGCAATATGTTCCTAAGCAACTGTTTTCCACCATTAAAGACACTAAGTGCTCCAAAATTCAGACTTTTGGCCCTTCTCAAACCACCCAAACTTGAATCCTTAGAGAAAGAAAT